CGCACTAGGGATCTGGATTAGGTTTCAATGCGGTATTAACTTTAATGGTATGTGCAAATGTATGCTATAAGGGAATACCTTGCCCGCGGTTCCCCAAGGCCATTCAAGACCGACACAAGGCCAGCCTTTCATCATTGCAGCATGACTTTTACACCTTAGGAAGAGACAGAAGGGACTGGAGAAGAGAAGGAAATGGTTAATAATTAAACGCACATGTAGCACTATAGGAAGGTATAATTTTAGAAGGGGTAGGGCGGGGGTTGAGTCAATGATTAGTTGCTATATGTCAACAATCTAGAGTAATATTGGAAAGGTTAAAGATGGGTAAATTTGATTAGTGAATGGGTTAAGGTAGGATTACGTAAAGGAGATTAGATCAAACGAAGGATAAGTATGCGTTGTCAAAGCAGAAAGTGTGAGATTCTGTAAGGATGTCTGATAGGTTGGGAGTACGGGCTGCTGCAAAGCGTGGACAGGACAACAGAAGGTGTGGAACTGAAATAGGGACATTACATAGGGAATATAGGGGCGGATCAGATCGTGAAATCAGAAAGGAATGTGTTAGACGGGTGTGGCCAATACATAAGCGGGCGAGAGTCGTTTCCCAACGGCTGTTCCGATGAAATGGAGCTGATCAGGAGATTAATAAATTACATGCTGTAAAACTATCAATGTGAAGACTTGACCAGAAAGATTACCATCAGGTATAAAGGAAGGTCTTAAAGGGGGTTAATGATCCGTGGCTGGAAGACATGGGAAACGTGGTTGTGATGTGGACATAGTGTGCTAGAGTATCTGCCTGTTCATCGCCGGGGATTCCAACATGGCTGAGCACCTAGCAAAATCTGATAGATTTATGGCGTGTGGACAGGTACAACAACCAGTTCTGAATCTTACTGATAAGTGGATTGGTCGAGTGCATCGACTTTATGAGAGTTAAGTGCGAGTTGGGAAGGTTACTGCGAAACCAGCACCTGGGGTGGATTTGGAGCCATCCGTGTAAACATGAATACTGGAGAAATGAATAGAGACATAGTCAAGGAAATGGGTAAGAAGGGCAGAAGTGGGGTACGGCATCGAGAGAGACATGGCATGCTTTACTCATGTACTGGAAAGGAACGAAAGGGCCAAGCGAAAACCGCAGTGGTGGATTGTATCAAGATGAGCAAGGAGGGAAGTTGAGGCAGTGGAGTAGATGTGGCACCCATAATCAAGAGTGGAGATCAAGGTAACGAAAATGAAGGAGAGTTTTGCTATCTGAGCCCCAGGATATATGGAAAAGTGAGCTTTTTCTTTAGTGTAAAAGATATGATCTAGCCAGGACAATCTGGAATAAAAAATAACGCCAAGGAATTTGCCAGAAGAAGGTAGTGGAGTGGAGCGCCTTACAAGAAGAGTGGAAGTTGGGGATCTACATGTGCGCGAGAGAAAAGGATGGAGAAAGATTTCGAGACAGGGAAGCGAATACCATAGTTATTGGCCCAGGAAGAAACTGATGATATTGCAGACTGATGGTATTGGATGTGCCAGAGGCGAAGATGGTTAAATTGCCAACATATAGTAATGGACGGGCTCCTGGTGGTGGAACTGAGATGATGCTATTAACAGCAAGAAGGAATAAGGTGTTGCTGAGTACATTGCCTTGCGGGACGCCTTCGAATTGAGGAAAGGATGATGATGTGGAAGAGGCAATTTTGACCTGGAGTGTGTGCCTTGGGAGGACAATTGTTGGAGAAGCGTCCCTGTGCCTGCACCTCTGCAACAACTTCTTCCATATCGCGCCTCTGCACTAGTGATATGCGACACCTCTGAGACCTTAGTCTGGCGGGATGGTCGAACGGTTTAATAGGACAAAAAGGCAGGGGCTGGACAAGTACCGAAGGACAGGCGGAGAGCAAGCTTCCATGATGTTGGGAAGGGAGCTGCGTTTGCAGCTAGATTTGGTAACTGGGAAGTCACCAAACGAGAAATTACTTGTAGCAACAAGTGATTACGCCGTTGAGTTACAACGACTTGAGGAGGTGCACCACCAGGTGATGGTTGTAGTGATTGACTACTAATTACCCTTGCTAATTAGGTCATTAGCGCTGCCACCACCTGGCTAGTACGTCCAGGAACTATGTATCGAAAGGAGAAGACGTCTAGAAGAGTGTAAATAGAAAAAAAGAAAGTATGTATGTAAGAAAAGGAAAAATGACCTAATCAACAAGTTTGTCTGGTAAGCGTGTTATATTCCGAGGGGAGTGCGTGTCAGCCTTAAGGGCTGATTGAAGGTAGTCAATTGCTTGTCACAGATAGCCAAGTATGGTATCATTTGTCTCTTTAAAAAGGTTTAAATTAAAAAGAGGGATTTCACTTGTGAAGTCTTAAAATACATTTATTAAAAACACTCTGAACACGTTAACACTTGAAAAAACACTCGTAAAAAAGAACACTTAAAAATACACGAAAGGTAAACACTAAAACAAAATACGATAAAATAAAAACGAGACGGAACCTC